CGCGCCCTTCTCCTCCGTTCCCGTGCCTTTTCCCCGGGATTGCGACACGATGCGCGATGACGAGGAAAGAGAGAGAGAGAGAGAGAGGGAAGACGAACGTAATCTTATTAGCGCTCATTGACGTTTCACTTCATCGGATAATTGCGTAAAGAATTATCGCGAATCTCGCCGCGCTCGTGAAACCGCTCGGAATTCCGCTCGCCGAGCATTTTATTCCTGGCACCATCGCGCACGTAAGAGGGATTAATCGCCGCGAACGTGGGCTGACAATTGGCGCCCGGATTATGCGCAAGTCTTAATGTATCAGCCTCGGATCACACCACCTGACGTCTGTCGTAAACAGAGAGCCAATTTCGTATCGGCGCCTCGCAGGAGACGCCTGCGATGGACAGTCCGTATTTTAATTACCCTTTCTTTTCTCTCTTGCAGGTTGTTGCCTTTATATTAATAGGAGTCGCTGTATATGGAAGGGCGTCCGCCTTAGTTACGAATCTCCCCATTATAGGCGGTATCCTAGCATGCGGGGTGATCCTGTTCCTCATTTCTATACTGGGCCTGATCGGTGCGGTTAAACACCATCAGGTTTTATTGTTCTTTGTATCCTTTTCTGCAAGAGCAGTTTCGACAGTTAAGTTTCATGAACAAGAATCAGTAATCTGATTTGACTCTACCATTGTCGTAAATCTGATTGGTGAGCATTTATTATATTATAGAGTATATTGTTTGTTAGATAGCTTCCGCAAGAGCAGTTTTGATGTTAATTGTAAGTTTCATAAACAAGAATCAGTATTTTGATTTGACTTTTTCATTGCGATTGTCGTAAGTCTGATTTGTGAGCATTTGTTATATTATAGAATATATTGTTTGTTAGATAGCTTCCGCAAGAGCAGTTTCGATGTTAATTGTAAGTTTCATGAACAAGAATCAGTATTCTGATTTGACTTTTCCATTGCGATTGTTATAAATCTGATTTGTGAAGAGAACATTTATTATATAATATATTTTTTGTTAGATAATGAAATTTTTTACTATTTTACATCTGCATCTTATTACATTACATTAATAATGTCAATAATGTTATTAATGTTTAATATATTTTAGAGTCTTTTACTCTTATTAAATATCTCGATACAAAATGATATATTCTCGATAAAAGAAATGGGTATACTTCCTTAATTGAATTTTACAGTACATGCTTATTTTGTTCCTTTTGTTCCTGATTCAATTCAGCATTGCCTGCGCCTGCCTTGCTGTGAACACCAAACAGCAAGAACAACTCGCAGAACAGGTAAATTTTTTTTCCGTTCAGAAGGCATGGCGATTGTATATTATTTGTAGGACAGATAATTATGACTTGATAATTGTGTGCATAGGGTTGGAGACGTGTTGGACCTGACTTAAGAGCGAAAGTTCAGACTACCTTTAACTGCTGTGGATTTAATGACACCACTACTGACCAATCGGGTATATCTTGCGATGTCAGTGTAAGTTGCAGCAAAAAAAAAAAAAGAAAAAACATATGACATCCGCAATGATAATGCATTGTCAAATAACTGAAATCTTTTACAGAAAATTTGTTGTCCATCCATCGATGTCGGTCAATCTTGTCCACCTTGTCCAACGTGTATGCACAAACTGCAGTCCACCATTGACTATGCGTTCAAATTATGTGGCAGTATAGGATTATTCTTTAGCTTTACGGAGGTAAGATTTCGCAAACGACTCGTTTCATTTGTCATATATTGCACAAAATTGTACAGGATACGAAGTTAAATATTGCACAGATTTATTTAATATATATATTATACATTTTAATATATATTTAATATATATTAAGATTTGTTTAACATATATTTAATATACATTTAACATATATTTAAAAGTTTATCTATATATATAACTAAAAGTGCACTATATCCACATTGTGTTTCACTGATTATGATGAAAGTATCATTTTGCTAATGCTAACACGTGTGCCCGATTACAGTTTGTTGGTGTATGGTTGACCGTGAGGTACAGGAACCAGAAAGATCCACGAGCTAATCCTAGTGCTTTCCTCTAGTCTAACACCATCGCCATGTCCTCTGTCACTTCATACGATCCTCCTAACAGATGGTGGGTGGCTTCACATGTCGGTTGTGGTCTTTTGATCTTTTTTTTTTCCAGCATTACCGGGTTCAGATATCCATTCGCTAATGTTCATTCGTAATGTTCTAAAAAAAAAAAAAAAAAAGTAAATTATGTGCAGTACGTAGCATGCGGCAATTTATACGATAGCAATGTCTATAACGTTTGTACTTTTCCCATTGCTCTTCTTTGCCGGGTCCCTCAGAATCTTATGAATTTAAACCTTTTCAGGTGATTGCAGCTTTCTTGGCAAGGCGTTACCGTAATCAATTAGATCCACAGGAAAAAGCTGCAAGAGCCATTTTTCCGCAGCAGAATTATTTATATTAGTTCGACGATATATCCGAAAAAGAATTATTTAATAATCTTTCTTTTAATTTGTATTATACGTATTTCATGAGACTTTTGCGACACGAGGAGGACAAACTGAAATTAATTTTATTTTTGATTGCCCGGATATGTCATATCAACATACTTTCCAACGGCTACAATTCAATCATTTTCTTTGAATGCACTAATTCTTTTAATTATGTGTAATGCTCAATAGAGAAATTAATACATTTTTTTAACTGGGCAGTCGTAGGTTTTAGAATGAGTTAGATAAATAACTGAAATGTGTGCTCTAGTCATAAACTTGGGACACTCATAACAAGCCTCAATGCGCCTTGTAGTCTAGTGACAGAAAACATCATGTAGGTATAAATTTCTATTAAATTTCGTTGCGTTATTTCCTTCGACAATTCGACGGTAACGAAAGTTGGCGATGAAAATCTAGCACATTGTCATAACATTGTGTTGTTTAGTACCACAGTTCGGATACCATTCTAAAGAATATTAGAACGACGTAAAAAAAAAAAACAGTGCAACACGCATATTAATTTTTTTTTAAATATTTTTTCATGAGAGAATGTAGTTTATCATGGTAGAAGCATAGATAATCATTCATCGATCTTGGCAATCATATTTTTCTCCCGTATATAAATGAATCGTGTTAGATGTATGCATATATACATAAGTATATATTATAATTATATTCAATGATATCTAGAAATTTATATCTTCCCGAGTAAAGATTCTGTCATATCACCTTTGAGTACTTTTAGATAACTTTATAATATATTTACGTCTGCGACGAGATTGTTTTTTTTTATATGTTAAAATATTCTACAGAGCGTTATGATATATATGAACTTCTGTTATTATTAGGAAATTGTAATCAAAATAATCCGAAGAAATCGTAATGTAAACTTTTACATTAACGAATCCATATCTAGTTTGGATGAAACTTGGCTTACCCTCGGGCAGCTTGCTTACGATATCGCATACGTGTTATACCAAATATTAAGAAACTACATATATACTTAAAATGTATAACCAATCGAGTAATATTTATCCTATGGTAATACCGTAATCAGCGACTATGTGAAATCTATCGTATTTCAAGTTTCATCCGCCAAGAGTATCCGACGCGAGAGTGCTTTGCTTGAAATTAAATTCTACGCTAATTGTGCACTCTAAGAAAACTTACGCATAATCTGAATATATAAGATGTCCTAGACAGCCTGGTGGGAAGTTATTGAAGAACTTTATAATAGTCTCGCTTTCTTGCATAATGCAGACTTCTTAATGGATCCTCGCAGGCTTTTAAGCTTTTGCGGTCGTAAGAGAGAAGGGGGGGGGGAGGCAAAGGGAGAGAGTATTTAAATCGTCTTGTCGAATGTTACTGGACTTACGATCGCACCTCGGATTCAATTATAGTGGAAATTGTATTCTATTCGTGAAAACACTATTTGACTGATACCTCTCTCGTGAGATAATGCCCTTCCAGGTTCTTTCTCGGACGATCTGCGTAATATAAGTATAAAACTTTACGAGAGACACACGTGTTGTGAATTCAATGTTCATGGAAATATTGTACATCGTGCCCTATTCTAGATATTAGAGAATAATAGCATATTTTCTATCCGAATCCCGTCGCGTGAGACGTAGATGGAACGAATCTCGCCATAATTACGTTTTCGCGAGTCTCCCCGCCTGGAAAAAGCAGCTGTTCTAAGATATACCAGATTATAAGATATCGCGTCTTCACGGTTCAATAACGAATCGAGCTCGTTGCTTTATCCATGTATTGTTTAAATTATAATAATACAATTAATCGAGAACCGAACGAGATCCATGAGAATTCGTTATTGAACGACAAAATCGTAGTTTGACGTTGCACGTTTGAAGAGTTTTTCCCCCGATATTTGGAGGACGTCGCTCTGACGAATAAAACGGCGTTTGCAATAAGACTTTAAGAAAATTTACCAATCAGTGGATTATTTATCTTGAGAGAAGATTAATCGATTGTGAACAATTTTCTTAAATCTTAAATCTCTAATTGCAGACGCCGCTTAATCCAGTATCGTTTTTTAACGAACAGCTCGAGTTCGCACAAATTCACAGAGTTTTATGCCGATCACGTCTCACGAATGGTAGAGAGCAACTCGCGGGATGTATATCTTCCGACGTAAGCGTACGAGATGAAGAATCACGTAAACATTCCAATTTTCATCTCGCTTCTTTCCTCCGGCTTTGGTAAAAAAAAAAAAAGTGCATATATTTCGCATGTCCGCGAAATAGAGGCCACGTGCGAGGATATATACGGTAGCGTCATTCCTACATACATATTTTTACCTAAGAAAAAAAAATACGTATCGTAATCATTCTACTCGTGATTAGACTTAACTGCTGTACGTATGTCCTGAGAGAGCTGAGAACAGTCGAAGAAATGCGTATGGGAGTGGATTCACACGCATCTCTGCGTTTAACTGCGCGGTGAAAACGACGTAAGCGCAGCGCGCGCCCGATTATATTATCCGTAATGCGGCGTACAATGAAACTTATAAAGACTTAAGATTTAAGAAAATTGATTCCTGATCACAGTCGATTATTCATCTCGCGTGAGAGAAGTAATCGATTGTGACTGATCAATTTTCTTAAGTCTTAGTGTCTCATTGCAGACACGGCGCTTAATGTAACGTGCGTGCTTGAGGGAATCTTTCGAAATCAAAAAAGATCTGATGCTTGGCGCGCGGGAGGATCCGAGTGTTTTTCGACAATCTTAGGTGACGGAAATCCCATTGTATTGTATACACGTTAGAGATCATGTTCGAATTATATTCGATTTATCTCCTCACAATCCGAATGTCCTGATTCAACAGGTCCGTTCTTTGTAACCGCGTTACAAATCACACTTTCTCGAGTTAAAATAATGAAAGAAAAAAAAAAGGAGACGTACATAATTGAGCGGCGAAAGGTAGAAAGTGTGGAAAAACCCGACTACAAGGAGCGACCTTTATAATATACATATATCTACCCCGGAGAATTCGCGACGTCGTCTAATTCGGTGATTCGAGACGAATTGGATCCCGACGATGCTATGTTTAATTCCGATACTCGCGCATTCCGACGGATGGCAAACAATCTCGAATACATGTTAAGCACGAGGATTTAAAGGATTTTAGTTTGTGTGATATAGAGAAGCGTATATATATATATATGCTATTGCACGAAGAAATATCAAGGGCTGAACGATTGCGAACGATAGAGTTGCCAATTGTTAGAGCTCGCGTGTAGCGATAGCGATAAATAAATAGATGAAGGTTCGGATATGTTATTTATTTAATATCAGGGAAAGATCCTCAATACAGTTAGGATCGAGAAAGATTTTTCTTATCGTCTAGAAAAAAAAAAATATCGAATTCACAAAAGAGAGACAGCGCCGATCCTTTTCCGAAGCGATCGACTGCAAGTATATTTTTTTCAGTGATCATATCCTTTTAATCGAGATCCATTGAAAGATATTGTTAAAAATCGAATAGAACTATTTGAATTTCTCTTATATTTTAGAGCATCGCAAAGTGAAGTTTTAATCAAAATAAAATAAATATAGAATCTTCATTTTTTGCGATCGATTTTTCTTTTCACGATGAATCAATGAGCGCTCGATGAGGATTGTTTACATTTTTTTTGCGACGCGACACCGCGCGCGCGCGCGAGACCGAAGGGAGTTCGTTCACCCCCCGGTTGCGATTATTTAACGCGGGTCGACGACCATCGATCTCGCCGTCAGCGACGGCGAGTCCATCGATTCCCGGTATCGATTCCTCTCACCATCCCCCTCTAGAAAGGTAAAAAATAAAAATGGCCACTTTGGGCGCGCACATTTGGCGGCCACGGAGAGCTGAGAGTGCACGTAGCTCCGCACTCCAGTTCCACACGGCGCGCACAGTGTTGATAAACAGGCGGTGCCGGCGATAGAGCGTCAGGCAGGCTGAGATCCGCACACCTGATCCGTTCCGGCGCGTCGGCGACACTCAGGGCGAAACGGAGCAACGACGGCGTCAACCGTGGAAAAGGTGAGGGAAGGCGCGGCGACGGCGGCGACGGCCCTTGCCGAGGAGCGGCGTCCTCCCCGGGTGGTTCACGGTGGCGGCGGCGACGACGACGAGCGCGGGAACGTTGAGGTTATGGACAACTTCGTGAAAATCGAGAAGATAGGGGAGGGAACGTACGGGGTGGTCTACAAGGCCCGGGACAAGCTGACCGGGAAGCTGGTGGCGCTCAAGAAAATCCGTCTAGAAACGTACGTGTGGCTCCGTAAATTTACTACGAAATATAAACAAGTCGCTTCTCTCTCTCTCTCTCTCTCTCTCTCTCTCTCTCCTCCCTTTCCTCTCTCTCTTTCACTCGTTCAGAATGTCATCCTGTATACGCAGGACCAGGGTGATCTTGATTCTCGGATGAGGATGCCAGAGTCAGGCAGGATCTTGTTTTTAAAGATTGTGTGTGTTTCATGTACAATAATTTTGTTATCAGAAACTCGGCAGAATCTGGATGAGAGCAGATGATATAAATAGAAAATCATTTGTTTGATCAGTTGCCAATTGTTCTTCAAAATTATACTGTACTCCCTTATCTTACCCTTATCTTTTATCGTTCTTGTTAAGATAATAGGAACTATACTAAAAAGGAAAAGTACTTTTTCCCCCCTTTTCTTTCTCCTATTTCTTTTACATACTTAATCATACACAATCAATATATTAATGTTATACTAACTTTTTTTAGTTTAACTAATTGTGCTTTTTCAATGGAAAATACACATATATGTACATATATTTAAAAAAAATGTTTTTAAATCGTTTATATGTAGATTTGTATAACATGATTATTAATCTTTTATTAATCTAGCTTGGAACATAATTTCCACATTGTCATTACTACATTATTATTACTCTTTTTTTTTATTTTTGATACAGTATTATTTATTAAAATATTCTACATTCTTCACTTACAAATATATATCTGTGTAAAAGCACTAATTGAAACTAGGCGCAAGAATATATATTTGAATTATTTTTACAAGTAATTATAATATTTGCCAATTTTCTTTAACAATTTTACCATGCGTTTTTCGTGCAAATAAATTTTATTATTGATTTTATTGGCTACCTTGTAGAGGTGAAGAATCATAAGAATAATTTAGTAACATATATTAGATATTTAATGGTGTATATATAAATTTAATAGCCTCTAAATCGAATGTTTAAATTAAGATTGCGCGCTGTTGATTCATCCGCGACCTTACAAAATTAATTTGAAATTAATTCGGCCCTTATCCATATGTGCTAAAAAAAAATGATAAAATTTGCAGAACTGCAATATAACTGCAGCTGGGCTTTTGCTTGTGCACTGCTAACACACTGCTAACAATCTGCATATTGGGGTCAGCTGAATCTGCGGGGGCCACGTTACACTAATTTTCGTAGCACCACATTATTCAGCTTGTCCCATTGTGCCATGCTCGCCTGGTTTTTGATTTAATATATTTTTTTTATTTAATACACTGTAATCATTAATTTAATAAGACACGTTCCGTGAGGATTATTTTTGAGAAAAAAACCTTGGGTATATGCATATGTGTATCCTCTGCAATTATAGCATTTTCATCGAAGATAACATTTTCCCTTGGGTATACAGAAATTAACAGAATTGCTTTTATATTATATTATTAGATTTGTCTTCCCCCACTGAATGCAACAATTGACGTTTTAAGTATTATAAGAGATTTATAAGTAAACTTTTCAAGCGGAAAGTTTTGTTATAAGAGGGAGAGTGAAACTTTCCTGTAAGAGTATTTTTTTAATGTATTTAATCACTCAGTTTTGCTTAAACTAAAATAGTGCTGCTTTAAATCAGGGAAAAAGAAGGTGTCCCGTCTACCGCCATTAGGGAGATATCGTTATTAAAAGACCTCGCACATCCAAACATCATACAGTTGTTCGACGTCGTGGACGGCAACAATCATCTGTACCTCGTGTTCGAATTTCTGCAGCAGGATCTGAAAAAGCTGTTAGATTCCGTTAAGGGCGGTCTAGAACCAGCTCTCGTTAAGGTAATGTCGGATAAGCTAGTTGTGGATTTCGTCGCGTGGATCTTTTAAAAATAACCCGGGGCGGGTTTGTGTTGCAGAGCTACCTGTCCCAATTGCTGAAAGCGATCTCCTTTTGCCACCTCCGTTGCATATTGCACCGAGACTTAAAGCCGCAGAATCTGTTGATAGACCGTGAGGGCCATATAAAGCTGGCCGACTTCGGACTGGCCAGAATGATCGGCGTGCCCGTTCGCACTTACACGCACGAGGTCGTCACCCTCTGGTATCGCGCCCCGGAGGTGCTCCTAGGAACTAAATTGTACACCTGTGCGCTGGACATATGGAGCCTCGGTTGTATATTCGCCGAAATGGTATGTGAAAATTGCACGAAAGTTATCCGAGAGTGATCTCTTGTAGCGTTTTCGGATGGAACGGCCGATTTGCTCGCTCCGATTAATAACGTCAAATTTTGCTAAACACAGATATGAAAATAGTTTTTTGTTGAATCATCAAAATAATTTGTTGGAATGTTAAAACTGATAAATATTTTGTTATAAAACGTTTTGATATTCTCGCAATTATTTTGACTTTTGCATAAAATTATTTTGATTATTGAACAAAGATTATTTTCAGATCTGAATTCAGCAAAATTGTTCTTGTTCCGTGCGGTGTCGGGGTGAAAAACCTGCAAAGTAATGCGATCTTTATAGGCGACCAGGAGAGCTCTATTTCCCGGCGACTCCGAGATAGATCAATTGTTTAGAATATTTCGCATGCTCGGCACGCCGGACGAAACGATCTGGCCGGGGGTGTCGCAGCTGCCAGACTTCACGTCTAGATTCCCAAGATGGGAAGCGGCTAACATAGACGACGTTTTACCCACTTTCGACAACGATGCCAAAGATTTAATTTCAGTAAGGGAAAACCCAGCGTGTCCACCTCGCGAGAGCGCGCGCGTTTTTTTTTATACACATGTATTTATTTTTATTTTTATTTTTTTTTAAGGAAATGCTGACGTACGATCCTAATCAGAGGATTACGGCAAGAGTGGGATTAAATCATCCTTATTTCGCTGGGGTCAAATTAGTTCCACCTCCACTGCCAAAAAAAAACTTGTGTACATTTATGGCCGATTGAATCACTGTATTTTTATAGACTTTTACATGAAACTTAAATGCGCAATATTTTTGGAGAGAATTTTAAACTGCGAGTGTGTGTTCAAAAGTATGTTAGATTCTAAATATAGATATATATATATATATATTTTTACTATAAATCTCACACATATATATATGTATATATTAATTTTTGATTTATCAGTATTATCTTCCATGCCCTCCTTCTCATCCATTCTCCACTTATTGCACAATGACATATTTCAATTATATTTTTTTAATTTTAATTGTATATATTGCGTATATATTTTTTATTTATATATATTTTTGAAAATTGTGCGTAATATTAGGAATTAAGAGATATAAATAATTAATGCATAAAGCTATTAAATGATATCGTTGGTTGATATTTCATAAATCTGTTTTCGACTTCTATTATTAATCTTCCGCACGCGAAAGATACAGAGTTGGAAATTATGTGATTTAATTGGAAAAATAGGACTTGCGAAGACAAGTCTTCGTTCCGTTTTATTTCGAATTTTCAGTTTATTTTTTAGCCAATTTTTTCGGTTGAAATTCGTCCTAGAATAAAAAAGTTTATCTTCGCTTAGAATTAGATTCGTCAATAAAAAAAAGATGTCTGCTCTAGCAAGTGTAGTTCATTATGACTTTTCTATCGTTATTTTTCTAAGTTATGAACTAGTTTGCACTCTCATTTTTGCGAGATGAACAGAATGCTCCAGACCTCGTGGTTTCTTTCATATACGAATTCTTAAATTAGACAGTTTTCATTTATATAAGATTATGAATTAAGTTTTAATTAATCAAATTTTTATTGAGAAAAGCTCAACTTGGAATGTAGTCGCAGATGAGAGAACCTGCGAGTCTGAGTGGCACTCTGTATTAGTAAAGTGCTAGAAAGCCAGTCGCGTTTTTTTGATTCGATAGCTCTAGTATGCCGTTCGGGCGGATTGCGAGGATGGCTCGATCAACTTCGGTAAACTGATTTTCGAATGACTCTCGGCAATCGCCGGACTTGCTTCTGATCGTGACATCGGCGAAGACGCGAGTTTCGGAAGACGCAGCTCCTTGGGAGACGGTGTTTTCCTCGGCGACCTCGGTGTACGGGGGGATATTCTACTGGGTGTGCCGGGGGACGTTTGCCTAGGTGTGCCGGGGGATATTTGCCTAGGTGTACCGGGGGAGGACTTATCGCCGGCGGATCTGACGCGCAGGCTGCTGGGTGGACGCGGGGAGGTTGGCGACCTCCCGGGTGAGCGACCCTTCGGCGTGCCTCCGCTGTTCGTCACGTCTGGCGCGGGTACTTTGGACGCGAGTCCGTTCGCGAGGGTCGCAGCACCCCCCGTTTCCTGCGCGAGTCTCCCTCTGGGCGTCGTGGCTTCCGGGGATCTGGCCAATCCGCTTCGGACGGCTCGGGGCGTCACGACGGACGAGGGTGACACGGCGCCACGTGTTTTGGTCGGCGTCGAGGGTGGCGGCTGAGGCTGGGGTATTTCGTCGCTGATCTTTGACTTCGGTTCATCCCTAGCGGAAGTCCAAACCTGAGGGGTGAGCAGAAACGATCATTTATATTTAAATACATTCAAGGAGAAAATATAGGATGAGTAATACTTGGGTGCATCTAGTAATGTCGTTCACATCGATCACTCAGCGAGCTGAGTAATACTCGATGCACCCCTTTGTTACGTATTATGTGCAAACTGACCTTGATTGACAGGCGGTGAATAGTAGCGATGCTTTGCGGACCTTGAGTGAATTGCAGGGTGAGAGTGAGGTACACGCTGTGCGTATTATCCTTTTACGGCAACTTTTCTAAATACTTCTAGTATACGAGATAAAGGTATCGATAAGGGAAAGACTGAGGAACTGTTCGTGTTTGCCGGTACCGTTTCGTGTGCTCAACTGCAGCAGGAATCAGTTTCAGGGTCGTGCCTACGTCGATACTAAATCTCCGTATTGTAAATCTTGCACGAAGCAGTTAATTTTTAACTCTGACAGGCCTGCGAAGTAGTTTTATAGTTTCTAGCGTTTGAATTGGTATATTTAAATTTTTGAGTTCACACATTATATTCCAAATGTGATATTAAACAAAAATTAATTTTCACAGATTTGATTAACGTTAAAAAAAATTTTTCTTGATTTTTTACGTTTCTCCAACAGACGAGAATTAAATTTAAACGCCCAACTCTGAAAGCGGAAATTCAATGATTCTCTGAAAGCAGATATTTTAATACAAATGGTGCAAATTTTCATTACTTTCAATTTTTTTATTTTTTAAAGAATTGCCCTTATCGTAATGTTAATAAATTAAAAACTTAAATAGATTAGATTAGACGGACTTTCTAATGAATTCTAAAAAGAATATAATCAAAGTAATCTTGCTCCTGGATGTTACCTATCGCGTGACAACGATTACACATATCTCTTGTTGCACGTTTTGTCTTTGGTGTTTACATAACACGAGCGTAAATAATTATCTTCTACATATATTTTTTTATAAAGTTAAATAAATTCTTAATGAACAGATAACAGGTGATGCAGCCACTTCTTTCTCAGCGAAAGAAAATTGGTTGGGGGGGGGGAGGATACATTCGGGGTTATTGAGAGACAAAAAGAACGGATGTAAATTTAAAAACAAAAATATTATTGTAATGCCTCTCCAGAGCGAGCCTAAATCAGGACGCGCGCCGCGGGCGCGTCGTTTACACTATTTGCGTTCAGTACGAAGTGTGGTAACTTGTGACAATTACGGAGGATCTAAAACGTTAATTACCATTCCCCGTCTCCGTGAAATATCGCAGTACGTTAATCGAATGAAATTATCTCTTAATAATCCACGTGGAAGCGATACAGTGTAAATAATGTGTGTTACATATCTCCCCCTCTCTCTCTCTTTCCCTCTTCACTTCCTTCTTCGTCTCTCTCTCTCTCTTTTTAGCGACGTGTAAATTGCACGAGGTACCTAAGGTAGTGTAGTGACGTAAGTGAGAGATTTTTATTCTTAGCGTAGCCGCACGCATTCCCCGTCATCGATCTCTCCTCTCCGCTGACGAGCGCTCAACTCCATCACCCGATCCGTCTCCCGATGATCTTTTCCTTTTCACACCAGCGGTACCTTATATATAATATACGTCGTGGGATGCAATGTGTGTTGAATACGTATCTACAGTAATAAGGTTTACACGAATATCTCGTATATGTCCCGTCGTACGTCAAACGCAATCTCGCTAATCGGCCCGATGTACCTGACAGGTGTCTCGCGTCGCGAGAGTCACCCGCGCGGCGTTACACGGCTCTTCTGGCACTTTTCTTCTCGCGGTCTCTCTCGTCGCACCGAGCACAATCCTGGAATAACTGTAAAGGTAGTAACTCCGCGCGCGTAGAAGCTCTGAGACATAACGACCTCGCGAATTTTTTTTCTCATGTATCGCGGCCGCAGCTGCGTGATAGATGCGGTGCAAAAAGCTGAGTTATCCACGATTAATCGACGCCCGGTGCAACGCTCGGCTCCCTTACGATTCGTCCACAGTCGATCGAGATTGCTGTCCGCCTAGTTTTCCGTCTCCTTCGGAAATCGTCGAATCGACCACGTGTTTAAAAAATCACGAAGGAACGATAACTGATGCGCGTCGTTCGCGATTCAATTATATGCGGGATGACGTTACCCTCCCCCGTAACTCCCGGTGAAATGCAACGTACGATGTTGAGGGATTGTCGGCTGTTATGACTTCCTCATGCGGAAATTAATGTACGCGCGTTTGTCTATAACGACTATTTCCCCCTAAGAGGACACGATGGTTCTTCCTGCGCGCGTTACTACGACGCACGGGTATATGTGTGTATGTGTGATTTTTGTACTTTCATTGGAATCTTCTACAGATACGAAAGCGAATAAGACACTAGCGATAAATTAAGTAATAAGGATAGACAGTTTTACACTCGCGAAATTAACTGTAAGATTAGCAATATTATAAATTAAATTTAAAAAAAGTACATATTCTTGTCTGCAAATTTTCTTTTAAAGACATTTAGCTTTGAAGACATTTATAATCTGCCCTGTTCTTTATCGGTAGATTTATTATCTTCACGCGCATTTTTTGTTAACTTCGTAAGCAATTACTCCGTTATTAAATATCATGCATTGAAACAGATTAAATTTGTGTATGAAAAAGATGAATTGGAGTACGTGATAAGCGTCGTTTATGGCACAAATGCGTATCAAAAATCGGTAGTTCGCAAATCTTAATATTCACGTAGCGAGGGCGCATGAGAAACGCGTAATGATTTAGAAAATCGTAAAGGTGAATTCGACAGAAATCTCTGGACAGAGAAAGCCATATCGCTTAAAAAGACACAGAGTCTCCAATGCGCATGGAAAATATTTTCCAATTCTTTGTCATGTATATGTATATTACAACAAAGTGAAATATTTTTTCTCAGTTCTTTCGCTTCTTCTATATATGCCTTACAATTTGCGCACTTACGTAATTACGTTACGTAAATGTGAACGTGTTTTCATGGACAGAGGGTGTTTTCACGCAACGCACGATGACGTATTCGTTTTATCTCTCTATAAATATAACTAAAATTGCTGGTGAACGCGGGATGAAGATACCCGGGAACGTCGCGTACCTGATAACGAATCAACGCGATAACGTATATCGCCTCGCTCGTCGATTTAATTCGCCCGTCCGTCGCACAAATTTTATCGCTCGCGTAGACGAGAGATATCGATCGCGGTGCTCCCTTTTCTTTTTCGAGAAGATTCCGTGCGCCTCAGTGTTTTTCTCGATCGCGCGAGGACAGTTCGCTCGTTTGTCCTCCAAAGGGGGAAGGTGGTAAGATGGATAAACGTGATTAATCACATGCAAATGATATAATTAAAGCGGGTCTATCGGCCGACTTTTCGTGACCTAGCATTCCTGGTTCAGGTTCTCGTCCGAGGCTGGCAGGCCGTTCTTGCCGGTGATCGCGCCGGAGGGCACGGGGCTCTGCGGGCACAAGACACGACATCAGGATTAAGCCTGGCAGCATCCTTGCGAACTGTGTAAATCGACTGAGTAAAATAAAAAAAATGCCCCTCTTTTAATAGCGCGTTAACCCCTTCACAGGCTGTGCGACAGGCTAGCATTCCAATATTGCCTTTAAACGTTATTTTAATAATTCAGAGATAGCGTTTCAAAAGATTCTCTCCCACAAAATAAATTTTCCCATCCTGTTTCATGCGACTTATTTGATTAGTTGCGCTGCAATTCGTATCGTAGTACTGCATTTATTTGATTTAGAATTGATTTTTTCAACATCGATTAATTTTAATCATAATTTATTGTTTCGTCAATTTCCCTTTTTTTGCCAATGAGATTTAGAAAAAAACAAAGGCACAATTGCATTATTGTTAACAAATTTATGCGCAGGAATAATGACCCTTAATACGATATGGAGATTGCAATTGCGTAATTTATATGTATTCATTTTATATACCTATTAGAATTGATTTCTTCAACATCGATCAACTTTATAATTTATTAATTGTTTCTTCAGTTTCTTCAGTTTCTCTTTTTTGCAAATAAGATTTAGAAAAATAAGGCGACAATTGCATTATTGTTAACAAATTAATTTACGCGCAGAAATAATGACCCTTAATATCTGCTTATGGAGATTGCAATTGCGTAATCACGATAGACGCATTTTTTGCGAAGGTAACAACCAGCAGAAATAGTTCAAGTCGATAGAGAAAAGTATAAGGAAGCATCACTTGTACTCCTATAAAAACGGATGTAAACAATGCAGAAAACGAGTATGGTTAGCGAAAAAACGGCATTATTATAACCCGCGAAATTTTTTAAAAGAATTCTCTCAGTTTTGCGGTTAGAAATATTATGAAACATTAACAAATAAATTTCTATAATTCGGAGACCAATCTTATCAAAGAATTTTTAAAAATAAATTTCTATGATAAATCAATACAACTTTTATAGTTTTAGTTGTTACTCTATTTATTTTTAGCAATTATTTATCTATCAATACGGGCCTCTATTTGTGCTGTGTATGGCATTGCGAATACGCATGCAACGCGTGTTTAAGCACTGTACGTGCAGATTAAATTGCGAAAAATCTCGAGAAATAACTAAGTTATTGTATTGAAACCCTTCGCCGTATTTGCGATGTGTTTCACTGCGAGAGAAACACGCCAGAGAGAATCTGCCGTGCAAAAGTTCTCAAGAGAGAAGTGACAAAGTTCCCGTGACGAAATTATTCTCAAGACTTTTTAGTTCGCGAAGAAATGTACCTGGGACCCGCTGCCGTTCACGCTCTCGACGTTGGAGCTCGACTGCCGAAGATAATCTCTGTCGTTGAAGATCTTTTTGTCGCCGCCGCCCGGCTTGTGCTTCACGTTATCCAACGAACCGATCTTGCTTTCGGCCTTGATGTCTACTTTTTGCATCGGGATCTGAGAAAATGAAATGACGAGCCGTATTTTATTCACTTATTAATAAAATCCCATTTGATAAAGAGGCTAGTGGAGAGTAGAAATAAAAAGCTAAAAAATAGAGGTTTCTTCCTGTTTTTTTTTAGTCAAATAGACAACAGTGGAGCATATTTATTACAATATTCGCTCGTCAATGAAATTATAGATTTATACAAGCACATTAAGAGAAGTGACGATTGACCTAGAGTCTAAATAAATTTGGAAACATGCAGAAATACATGCCTAAAAATCTTTCATCCAAAGTGTTACGTTTTACTTACTCACGTCTATATCCGGCGATATAGATAGAACTTTACCACTTTATTGCAAAGTGATGATAAGCACGTTTTCGTATCTCGTAAATCGTGGAGGTAAACCGGCTGATCTATCACGCCGATTATAAATAGCGATTTTGCAGTGTTGGAAATATCGATGTGTATGCGGTATACGTGCAGCATACGTCGTACGCGTTCGTTTGCAGGATTCTCGCTCTACTTACTTTTACCTCCACGATTTTGACGAAGTACGAGAAATTAATTTCGATCATGACGTCACGATCAAACGACGAGGGCCGTAATATGGATAAAAGAGCGGAGCGGAGGAAGACAGAGAGAAAAAGCGACACGTGACACGCCTATAATTTGCACGCTATTTCGTTAGCTGTATGATGTACTCACGTCGTTCTTCGTCTCCTGCGGTGTCTTTGGCGAAGTTGCGGACTGAACATCAAGAAATAACAATGGCTTGTTAATAATGACAATAGACAACACATGCGTGTACGAATTAGCTGCACAATTGGGTTTTGCGGCTTCCAATGACGTTTTTTTGATTCGGGTTTTAAGGGAATTAACGCTGATGGGGGCTCGATGGACCAACAAATGTTCTCCTTCGCTAGAAATTGCGGACTATTGTAAAGTATAATTGATAAATCCAAATTGAACGCGTGGCTTTGAGGCCACAATATACAACTTGGAATTATGAATTCTGCTTTAAAATCGTCAAAATACGTATAGCTATATTCTCTAGCTGGATCATCATTCTTCTTTCAAAACTAATAACTTTGTTTGGGATATACATATGTATGTATGTACGTATGTATGTATATGTATGTATATATATTTTAATATCTATGCCAGCATTCCGCATGCAATGAAATTTGAGCGCATTACTTGTAGGTAATTATCTGGGATATATATTTGTGACATAAAATGAACGAAGCGAGCATTGCATTTGTAATGCGTTCTAATGGCAATTAAGCTTCTATCCACCGAACCAGCCGTCCGTGAAGAAGATAATAAGTGTGAAGATCAGAACTTATGTAATTTTGTACAACGGTAAATACACATAGTTTTTATTGCTCCTTCGTTCAGTTAATTATGAAACGTCAAAGATAAAGGACTAATGATACAAATGTGAATGTAAACGCATACATATATAAAATGCATGCAATAAATTATTTTAAGAATTCCTTTCAAGGTTAATTGCTCGATGCAGAGTATGATATGATCGTGCTGATATTAATCAAAGCATATCGTTAGAATTGGAAACAATGAGATACTTTATATTTAAACTAAGGATTCGATCAGCTAAGAATCTCACATTCAATGTTCGCTTTGCAAGGAGTATATCGAAAAAGGTAAAAGAATTGATTAATAAACTAGAAAATTTATATAACTGGCTTACAGTAAAACAGTAAAACGGTTTTGAACTACAAGTTATATATACTTTAACGAATCTTACCTTGACAGTGCCGCCACCGGGAATATGCTTCGCGTTGTCTTTGGATCCGACTTTTGGCTTTGCTTTGTCCTTGAAGTCGAGTTTTACCGTTTCGATTTTCTTGTCGCCGCCGCCCGGTTTGTAAGTCGCATTGTCCAAGGAGCCTATTTTGGACTTGGCGTTCCATTGGAGTTTCACTTGGGAGATCTGTAAGTAAGTTTCATAACATCTTGTAAAGCGTGTTTGCCTTTCTATTTGCTATTTTTGATATCTGACGAACGTCAGAGAGGAAAACATATAAGAAATATTCTTCACAAAACGTGGAAATAGATTCTTTTTATCGATAATATAGGATGATTAATTAAATATCGGGATCAAAATTAAGAGATCAACCTTTTTGTCGCCGCCGCTGGGCGCGTATTTCTCGTTCTTCGCGGCGATCTTCGGCTGCGCTTTGCTGCCGAAGTCGAGCTTCCTGTTCTCGATTTTTATTTTACCGCCGCCCGGCTTGTAACTCGCGTTGTCTAAGGAACCGATCTTCGATCGTACAGTCTTCAGGTTCGGCGAGGGCGCGGCGCCGACTTGAACTTTGTTCATCGGCACCTCTGCAGAAGATTAAAAGACACAAGATCCTTTAGAACGTACGTTACGTTGGCGGTGATGTGATTTTTTTTAAACATTGTCCTTACTCTAATTCTTTCTATGGCATTCAGTCCGATTTCTCAGCGATGTAAAAGAGATGCGATTATAATGTATATGAAACGAGGACTAACGTTATAGGATATTAGGATGGTAATCGAAATACCTATAGCGTTGATGACGTATGTTAGATTTTGTTCTACGCAAAGTGTAGATCAACTCCCCGTTTTTAAATACGAAACGAGGATTACTTACTTTTTTTATCTTGAGAGCTCGACGTAGGTGTGTCGGGAGTCCGCGGTAGTGATTTAGCGGATTTCGTAGGCGACCCAGCGTTCGATCTTTTGTCACCGTACTCGCCTCCATCCGTACTCGCCTGTTTGAGACAATTGTAATATATCGGAGATATTTCTGATACTGTACAACATACAAGAGCAGAAGACAAATATAGACTTAATAATTTAAGATATTTACCCCGCTAACCGATTCTCTCGCTCTGCCGTTTTGGACCGCTGTGAGAAAAAAAAAGAAAACAACATATTACTACATCGTCATGATCAGGTTGAAGACATGCATGCATACGTCAGTATCGCGCCGCACCGAAGCAAAGTCTCAAGAGTCTCAAATATAGAACAGGATACTTAATTTTATAATATAGAATACTTAATTTAGTTCTCCGTATAAAGTCATCAATTTGTTTAAAATAAATTAAAACATATTCTATTTTAATAAGAGAGCTAAGCGCGCGCGCTAATTTTAAATATTCTGTAACAGAAATAGAACTTTGTTTGTGGGAAATTAGTTTTACAATTATAATATGAAACTCGGGGAAGCCAAAGGAACGAAAATATTGTAGCTCCTCTGAATCTTTAAGAAGCGTGCAGACAAACATTGATATTTGCGAAGCAAACGAATCGTGATCAGTTTCGTCTTATTCAATTCGCGCGCAAGGACCTTTTCTCTCCGCAGCTCTCTTCTCGTCGTCCGGTCTCGCCGGTGTTTGCGCACGTGGAGTTTTCACCATTAGAGTAGTGGGCTTCGTTACTTCCGTCTTGCTTATTTTTTCGGCGATAACCGAGTCTTCGACGAAGGACGTTCTCTTTTTTCCGTCCTCCGTCTGTTTCGGTAATCGGGGGCTGCTGCTCGAAGACAGCGTTCTCTGCTGTCCGTTATCGTAGCCCTTGACACCTTCGGGTGAAGCCGACAGCTTGTCTCGATTCGGCGTCGTGGGCGAGCGCGGCGACCTCGGCGACCTGCCGCCTCTCTCGCTCGCCAAACTCAACGACGACGCCGGTCTGCCGGGCTCCCTCATCCGCGGAGTGCCCTCGGCGGATTTGTCCGGTTGGACGGAAACCCTGTCGCTGCTCGATTCCACTCCGGATTGAGGCGCGCTCGAACGCGGTCTGCTGGGCGTTCTCGCCGCAGCTTCCGGCTCTCTTTCCGCATTCGGCGAGACCGACTGCGAGGCCGGGGTACTCGCACGCGACTTATCCTGCTCCGCGCTTCCGGGCGACTCCAGGCCGGCCCCGGGAGTGCTCGCGCGCGACTTATCCGGCGTCTTGACCGGACTCCTCGACTCTCGTTCCGCGTCTCCGGGTGGCTCCAGTCGGGCCGGCGTGCCGGAACGCGATTTGTCCGGACTCCTATTCGGTTCCGCGTTCCGAAGCGTGTCGAGGTAGGACGGGGTGGCGGATCGCGAAGTGTCCGAGGATTTCGGAGGAGTCTTCAAGCTCTGCTCGACATTCTGCGCGTCGTACGGGCTGCCGGGCTTCCTCGGTTCTTCGGACGCAGCGTTAATCTCTCTGTCCGACGGCAGTCTGCCGGCGAGCTTTTCCTCCTCATTTTTCTCCTCTTTATCGTTGTTCACTGCGGAGGAAGGTCTAGTTTGAGAAACGAGCGTCGCCGTATTGTCGATGTTGGCAGAAATTGGTCTTGAAGGTACGTCTTGCTTGTCATCCATTTTTTCCACCTTACTTTCGACAGTGGCCGTGCCCGGTCTGCCGACGTCGTCGAGTCTCCTCGGAGTCGAAGGCGACTTGGAGCCGTTTATCAGTCCCTCGGGAGGGGCACCGTCGCCATTGTGTCGCGGCGACTTCTTGTCGTCCATCACGACGTCGTCGTCGTCGTCGTTCTCGCCGTTCTCGCGAACGTCGGGCCTCTTTCGCTGCAGATAACCCTCCGGTTTACCGGCTCCGCTTTCACTGATGTCCGCCATCTTCTCGATGACGATACGCGGTCGGGGCGGTTGCTTGAGTTCTTCGTTTGACAAAAGGTGCTGCCGCTGCAGGCTCAGCAACGAGTCATTTCTCAGCAACGGCCGCGGGAAAACGGATTCCTGGCTGGGTCGTCGCGGCTCGTTTTGCGGAGGCGCGACGTCTGGTCGCTGAAATCGTGGATCGTTGCCGATTCGCTGTTGCTGTTGCTGCTGCTGCTGCTGCTGCTGCTGCTGCTGCTGCTGCTGCGCCTGATACGCCTGCTGATTAACGATGAAGGGTGGCCGTTGGCCTCCTGCTCCTTGCGGCGGCGAGGGACCTCGTATCCCCGGGGAATACACGAAACGTTGATTCGGAGGTAGCAGCGGATTCTGCGGAGGCAGCTGACCGGGTTGCGGAGGCAGCTGTCCGGGTTGCGGCGGCCTCGGAGGAAAAGAGCCCCCCGGTGGTCTTGGCGGACCGTAGGGCCTAAGCTGCACGAACTGACCCGAGGCTGGCGGTGGACCTAGGGAGGAACGGCTGTCCAAACGTCGTAACGGTGGTCCCGGTCGAGGTGCGCCTATGGGACCATTATTTATCGAATTTCTCGGAGGAGGAGGACCTTGCGGTCGCGCCTGAAATCCTTGCGGTGGTAAAGGAACGTTTGGCTTCACCTGCGGAAGAATACAGTACGTGTCGCGTACATCTGTACGGAAATAGGTACATATCAATAAGTCCGCTACGATAAATGAGCTTGACAGAGACCAGACGAGCTTGGAAATAGCTCTCTGACGTGTTCGCGTTACATCACAAGCTACTAATAATTTTTTTATTTAAAAAGCTAGGTAGTGAATATTTTATGTTTCTCGATTTGGTAATATATACGTTAGACGGTTTGTCCTAACCGAATCCATTATTTTTATGATCACGTTGCTTTATAGTTTGATTAAAACGCGGAAATTGAAGATATCATAATCTCGTGAAATACATTTTTGATGCTGTGAACATAATCGTCATTAATTTAAAGTGGCGCTGCTTAAAGCAGCCACGCTTTTATCGCCGAGTAAATATAGAGATTATATGTTCGTGCGTTTCCGACATCGAAATCTGAACTCGGCGATCTGTTCCGATCCCTGCTTGAAGGCAGTCAGGAGACGAATATATATATTCAATTTGTTCCAAGTTTTCTGCCTTCGTTTAAATGTTGATTTTATCTCCTCTTTGTTAGATGGTTCTAAATGAATTATGATACTTTAATTCGATATGTTATAGTCGGGTCTGAAACGCGCGGTTTGGTATACCGAAAACGTTCGCGAAGCGATTACAATCCTAGACGTCCTAGACTCGAGCGGCCACTGAAGAGACACATAAAGAAACGAAACCGAAGGCTATATTGGCGCAACTAGAGGTACAAATTGTGTGATCGACAGTATTAACCTTGACCTTAGTCCCATCGATCTTTTCGCCATGCCGCGATTCGAATTGCGGTCTACAAACGTTGACTCGATTTTCTGCGTCATCCTTAACAACTGTTAACTTCTGAACCTGCAGATCGTTAACTTTCGCGCTCTCAATTTCTAATGACGACCGTTTCGGCGCCGTGTGCCGACGATCGTTCGCTATCGCCGTTAGTATTTTCGCAATTCAATTTTGTCGGTTTACTAACGCGACATTTCGTGTCGCGGGCTAATCCGCAACATGACGACGGTAAAACGTACTACGATAACAATGTAGAAAACCGCGAGAAAGAGAGAACTATACAGTTTGCTTGACTCGGGAGTCGAAATTCGTGAAATAGCGGCCCTGAGTCTATCGATCTTTTGATAATGCGGGTCGGTGACGTCTCGCTGTGCCGTTTTCACCGTGCCTGCCACCGTTTTACTTTCGGGCTCATTATGGGATCGAGCCACGAACGACTCGGCTTCCGACTGCGATTCATTCGCTTCGAGGGATGCCACGAGCGACGTTATGTTTGCTAGCAGGATCCTCATTATTCTTACAAAGGAACCTCGATTTTTTTATCCGTAACAAGATCAAACTTATTTATTAATTTATTATAGAATAGATATTGTGTACGAGAATGTAGAGAATTAAAATATATAATAATAATAATAGTAATAATAACAACTTTATTGAAATGTAGTATAAACAAAGGAAAAAAATGAGAGCTGTATTGTATACGAGAGAGATGTAGAGAATTAAAATATATAATAATAATAATAACTTTATTGAAATGCAGTACAAACATAGGAAGAAAATGAGAATAGAAAAGAAAATACACCCCAAAGGAAAGGCGTCAGAATGCCTTGAAGCTTAGACCTGATCAAATAAAAAATAAAAAACATAATCTCTGTCATTATTACAGATTCTTTGCTAATGATCGTCGTACGTGTTTCAGTCTATGTATCTAGCCATGTATTGCTTACCATAGTTTCTCCGTGACCCGAAGCAGGCTCGGTTACACTGTTCGCGGTTTCCTGCGAGTCCATATCGATTTCTCTTTCGCGTACTCTTATGGGGTATAATCAACCTCGTCTTGGTCAATATGGTATCCCCGTAAACCTGTTGCGTAAACATGTGACCAACGAGTCTTCGTGAAAGGTTCACGAACCAAGCGATCGACATCAATTGCCGCTACGGCGGTGAATGAATGTCGCAGCGTGTCGGACGGAGGACTACTCTTGTCTTATACTACTAGAGACACTGCAGCATTACTGACGTACGCGCGTGATAAAAGCGGCAACAAAGATATCGGAGATGTGCCAGAAAAAAAATACATCTTATACCAGAAGCTAACGAAGAGTAGTTTTAATATTAAATTTTATGTCAAACAATTTTATATTCAACTAAGAGTAAGAGAAAAATTTTAATAAATAAACCAAATCGGATTTTGAATAATCTAAGAAATTATACTATATAATAATATTTTATAATATAAAAGATTTGGGTACTTGTTTAATATATTATTTAACTTAATATTTTGCTATTCAACAAAAGAATTTTCTATATTAACATAAGAAACTTAATAAATCTTAATTGCAATAAGTTAATAATTAATGTCAAATTTACCGAGAAACTAATACAGAAAAATTATATAAGATCTTCTGTTATTATACAGTATTATTTAGATTATCAATTGATTATTTTATATTTTATCAATTCATTATTTCAGAAGAATACTTTTAATATGTGAGGCACAATATTTATTCACATATCAGATTACTTATGTCCTGGACATTTAAATATTATGAATAATTCATAGCCGAAATATGATATAGACACTCGACAGTTGTATGTACGTGTCTACTCGATGTAATCCTACAATGCGTGCAATGATGGTAGCCTTCAATTATAAATTACGACCTGCTCTCTACGTGCCACAGATATTACGTGCCGACGAGATTACAGCAATCAAACCGACAGCAATTACCAACGGTGTTTTACAAGTGCGAATACTGGAATACTTTATCAGTGAATAGACAGAAGTGTGCGTGATCAATTAGATACTTCAGTTTAACAGTGGCAATGATATTAAGAGTTAAAAGTAAATAGAAGAGTATTAAATAGAAATTTCTAGAGTTATTTTAAATGGAAACAGACAATATTTTGCGTATATTATTAATTATAAAAAAAATATTTTCTTAAATTTTTATTAATAAAAATCGTTCAAATTTAATTTTCGCGAGATATTTGATAAAGTTTATAAAATTTTCGAAACAAAAAATTAGCTTTCTATTAAAAAATTTAGAATTATAACAATTAAAATATTGATGTTAGTTACGCTCGAAAATATTGGAATAAAAATCGGTTCTACTTAAAAAGAAAATCCCATCAGTTTATTCTTTATTTCTCATTAGAAATGAATGACTTATAATTTTCAGATGTCTTACAAACAATCCTTCACGAATAGATGATACATCACAACTATAATAACTGCGTACGCGACTATAAGCGTGATTTCGCGGTCGGCGTAGACCTTAAGGAACGGAAGGTAAAAGTGGTCGAGAGTTGAACATAAACGGAGGAAGACACGCGAGCGCGATCATAACTGGTGCGGAACGACGAAACAGATCGTGTATTGCTGTGGATCGACGTCGATTAACCTTGGTGAGTAACATTGCGAAATTACACCGCGCGAGACGAGAAGTCCCGTGTTCGGGAACGATAACGTCCAAAGGAGCAACGTTCCTCGAGCAGACCTAACAATTGCGCCTCGCAATCGTCAAATCGAAAGCGCATCGATCTCATTCATTCTTTTAGATTCTATGACTAGTCGCAATTTCTCTTGGTCCCATCGCCCATTAATCATTGTGCTGTGACATCATTGTGGAATGTCAGCCTCGAATTTACATTCGGATTCGGCATTGACCTTTTTTCCGCGAAGTAAAATGTTTTCGTCATCCTCGCGGAACGTTATTTCGTGATATTTAGATTGTATATCAGCTTGGAAATAAAATAATTTTCCGTCGCAAACAGGAAAATTAAATCGATACGAATAAGTTTAATTTAAAGGAGCATATAGAGATTCGAGAATATGTCGTCAGATTCTAGAAATATAAGTTCCATTAAAAATTATTTCCTAGGGAGGATTGACATACCTAATTTGTTGACCGAGATAAAAGCTTTAGCGAAACGTGCGCTATGAATTTCACTTTCAATTTACGGTATGTGACTCAGAGGTGGATCAAATTATACTCGCGGTCGATTATGTCACCGTAGCTGCGAGAGTAATTAACTCGGAGAGACACGAAATAAACCTTAAAATAACATTTCGCACGCATAAGTATGATGGCCTGAGTGCCCGATAAATATCATATTTAAGTAAAAGGCGGTCTAAATTATGTGTGTTGCGTGCGATTTTAGTTACATTTGCGACAACCTCGAGGCTTTCGGCTCTTAATTAATTACTCTTCATTATCTATGTCCATACGTGGCCTCATTTTTGCCTTTTTCTTTTTTTTTTTACACAAATATTCTTCCAAAAACGAGATTATTTCACAAAATAATTTCTAGCGGATGTATTTGTTTCTTCTTTCGTCTATATTACTGAGACAGAGGAATCTATAACATACGGTGGGAACTTCACGCGAACTCTATCACGGCGAACACGTGGCTGGAGTAATATATCGGATCGTTAGAAATAACTGCACCAGCGAAAGCAATTCATTCTGTCAGACTGTGTATCTTGCTTTACGACCGGCAATCGTGATTATTGTATATTCTAAAAATTCAGATCGGAGGGCATATCATCAGAAAATGTCTTTAGCGTTTAATATATATACGCTTTATCAAATATATGTTTTAAATTATATAACAATACAGCTTACTAAAATGTATATGTATCTATGGTAATAAGATATTCTAACAAATATAATTGTAATTACAGTCGAACTTTGATAACTTGAATCTCAAGGGAAGAGCTAAAATCTTCGAATTATAGAGTTTTCGATTTATCGAAATTATAATAGAGATGAACTTCGACTTGTAGAGGTATACTTTAAATTCGAATTGCAAAGGTAAAATAATACATCTGACAAAGAATTCGAGTTAAAATAGATCTTATTTCGATTTATAGAGATTTCCGTAGCGGAACGGAAGGGAATGAACAAAATTTTCTTAGAGATTTTCGGATTATAGAAGTTCGAGCTATCGAGATTCGACTGTATTTCAATTAATTTTAGTAACTTTAATTTTAATATGCATTTTTAAGAAATAATTTAAAAATCGACAAGTTGCGAACAAAGCTAAAAGATGCATATAAATCTCAAATTGTAAAATATTGATATATATAAAGATAAATAATTAGTTTGTACGCTTCGGATAAAATTCGTGCTATTTCCAAAAGACGCGACCGTTCCTCTTTTCAAGTTTGTGGATTCACGCGAGAGGCGTCACGAGAATACGTCTGGGTGGAATTCCTAAGCACGTTTCGGTCACTTCCACTTTCGTTTCCGAGAACGGGAAGACCAGAAAGCATGCAGGCTGCTCCGTGCACGGAGCAGCTTTGCCAGCCGGCAAGTGCCCATTCCCGGAGTTATTGATCCGACCCGGTGAGCGTGTTCGACTCCGTCGTTTCACGTGTGCACACACGGGGATGCGTCACATAATATGACTAAGTTGACGGGTTTAAACAAGGGCGGCGGCGGCGGCGGACACCCCGTGACGAGAGGATGAACCCGCCGAGACACCCGAATGACCAAATCGGCCTCGATTTCAGGCGCGGCGCAGCAACTTCGACCGGCTTTTAATTAAGGGAGCGATCGTGGATGCGATATGAGGTAATACAGGGTAGCACAACCTTCCTATTAGTGCCGAAGTTGAGGAAAATAGGATTTCATCAAAGGTGGAAGGTTGAGTCTCTCGTGCACTGTTGCTAATTGCGCAATTACTCGTTAAATTAATCGATGGCATAACGTTCCCGTCGACAATATAATTTATGATGTGTTATAACAATTTTTCTAAATAATTAAAAGTTGCTGTGAAAAAATTTGCAAATATCAATTAATTTAAAAGTGAAATTTAGAACTAAAGAGGGAAAATTGCAGATAATATCCATTTAATAACTTCTAATAACGCTCGTGACATCTTGATTAATATATTTTTAATTGACTCTAAAGAAGTTGAAATCTACTATCTCGTTATTTGTTAATAATATTAATTTCACCGCCGCGTGTAAGATACGAAAGAGATTACCTCGGTTAATCCTAGGAACGCTCGACACGAGGCAACTCTGTTATTGTCAGCGCGGTATTGCCATTCTCGTTTTTCTTCGCGGAAGGAGGACGTTTCGCGCGTGAGACATGCATGCACTAATTTTGATTTTTTGTCGATTGCACGCGATCGATACCGGCGAGCTCACGCAACGCTTGTATGTAATTCTGGTGAGACCTACATTCAGGTCATCGAATGCCAAGTAATACGATGCAATTTTCTACCGTGGCTTCCTCGCGACGAAAAAAAAGAAGGAGGAAGAAGCTTCGTAAAACTTCGCCGCTCGCGCGCGTCATCGCTCCCCTTTGAATTCGCTTTCGGTGTCATCGCTGGACGCGATCGGAACTCATTGCACTAATTGCCGTTAACGACGACAAAAATTATTCTTCGTTATCGCATCGCTATCGCACCGACGTTTATCGATGTTCTATAAATAGTGCTCGAATAGTATTGCGAAAGAGGGACCGAATGTAAAAAAAAAATATAGAATTTGGGTTACGCTCAAATAAAAATGCGGCGACGCGAATGCGCGTGTCACATTTTGTATAATAAATTACACGCTCGCGTTTTCACATCGTGCGCATTTTGCGCTGAATCATACTCTCGGGGATGGCTCAATTAATTTTACCTTTTTGCGTTCAATTGCGCAACATTGTATCGTGCTGTAACCGTCCGCTGTTAGATTCGATTAAGACAAGGATACGTTTCGGCAACGTGGGACGAAAAATCGCGCGAGAATTCGTACCGCTGTGAAAGAAGGTCCGAAAATTAAGATTCA